AGACGGGCTCCATAGGCATCACAGACCGTAATAGACACCGCTCCAGAGGATTACAGTCGTGATAGGTGGTCTCTAGAGACGATCACGGACCATGGCAGACTTTATTAATATAAGGTTAATGACTGTGTATCAGTAAGATCTCATTGGAATAGATGAACTACGCCTTCATTGCAGTTCTAGAGAACTAAGGAAAGAGTTGTGAACTAATATATCACAAAATAGATCGAACGAAACAGTTTCTAGATGATAAGTAGTAGCAACCACATCTTGTTTCACATTTTAATCGCATAGGGATTGTACTAACAGCTTTGTTTGGCTGATAGGTTCAGCGATCCATAATTCGGATCGAACTAGATCCACCGGTATTGGTTCCATCTGTGTTACATATATCGAGTGTTTTATATTAAATGGCGATGTTATTATTTTCAATTTATTTCCCCACCATTTCAATAGTCTCTTCATTTTTTTTACCAGAAGATGCATCGTGAAATTTTCTAAAACAAAAGGTGTTGAATATTTTATAAGAAAACATAAAAGTGAAAAGGATGTGAGTGTTCAAGAGAATAGAAACACCCACACCCTATTGTTATTTGAATTCCATGAGTGGCTAAACCTGAGATTCTCGGTCAGTATCCGGGCTCAGTACATGCCTGCTCATAAAAGGTGTGATAATTTTTCTATTTTTTGGAATTTCAGTATCATGAAAAGAAAATATTTTTTGTCAAGATGAAATTTTACGGTACATCGTTCACGATGATAGATCTGCTTATGTGCTTATAGTTTTCGCTCAAAATAGTGTTATTCACTTTCTTGGCATCTATTGAATCAAAACGTAAAATTAAAGTAAAATGACGGTTAGAGTGAGGGTATGAATGTTCTGAAATCTCGTGAAAATTAATACATTTAGAATATATAAGTAAGTCCTGATGGTGATTCAATAATAATTTCTACTTACATTTGTTTCATTACCGCCATGGAAAAGTTATTCTAACTATCATAAAATCAATTGTCTTTCCATTTGAAAGATATATCCCGCGTCACCAACAGTCGGTGCTCATTGGTGTATAACCGACCATGACCCGTCAATATGACTCAAAGAAACAAAAAAAACCGTTGGCAGCGTGGTCTATATCTCTATGTTGCAGTAAAAAATAAAATATCGTTATCTCTGCCTAGTCTGTTCAATATGTGCCGAGAAGAAAAAGACACGATGTGTTTATTGTTGTATGTGTATATAAATTCATCGTCGATTGAAAACCACTTTTTTGGTCAGTGTCATTGTTCTCCACCTATGTCAAGTATGCGACGAATGAAACGGAAAGACAATTGCATAGTTCAAATTTCAAATAGTAATAAAAAACGAAAATTAGAAGATCAAAGTAATATTTCACGTTACTATTTATTATATTTAAATAATTCTTTCTTTTTGTTGTTATAGTAACAGCGATCAATGCAAACAAGTCAGATATATCTCTTTCATTATATAAATAATAGTCCTTCATTTTCATTTAGATATTGTCTTGAAGACTTAGCCAATGAAATACTTTATGAAATATTTGAATATCTTGATCCATATGATATTTATAAAGGATTTTACAATCTTAATAAACGTTTTCACAATTTAGCTATTCATTCAAATGTTTTAACTAAAATCAACGTTTCAACAATGTCAAAATCAAATTTTGAAGATTATTATCGAAATATTCTTATACCAAATCGAAATCAAATTAAATTACTTCGTTTATCAAATCCATTTACTGCTGATATTATTTTTTCACCACCACGTACTATTTTAAATTTTGGTCATCTTGAAACATTAATTCTTGATAACGTACAAATTAGGTATTTTACTAAAGTTTTTAACCGTTTAATAGATTTACCTAAATTGCATTCATTAACTATTTCTCTTGTTGGTTACAATCAATCAGTAGATCTTCTTTTTATACATACTTTTCGTTTACCAAAATTAAAATATTGTAAAATTGAATATCAAAGAAAAGATAACAATAATGAACCATTTCAACTTTATTTTACTCAGTGTTATTCTAGTCCTATTGAATGTTTGATAATAAACGGTCGTTTTCCAGTTCATGCATTCCGTAATTTATTATGTTGTCTTCCAAAACTTCAACATTTATCAATAGATTATCTTGTTGATTCTCGTTATTATATGGAACAAGAAGAATTATCTCATATTGAATTAAAATATTTAAAACATGTTTCTCTTAAATTTGATTTGATATATTTTTATGAATTTGAAAAGATTATTAAAGAATTTTTTTATCATGTTGAAATTTTACGTCTTACAACGCATTATGATGAGAGATTTTTAAATGCTAAACGATGGGAAAAGTTGATAATGTCTTACATGCCATATTTACGTATTTTTGATATAAGTCACCAAGATTCTATGAAGAATGATTTAACATATCATGGTATAATTAATCAATTTAATTCTTCGTTTTGGACGAAAAAAAAATGGTTTTTTTACACATCAACATCATTGGAAGGACAAATTAAATAGTGAAATCATTCATTCAATCTCTCCATATCGGTAAGAGAAATTGTTGTTCATCCAAAAAAAATTGCACTCGTCACCATTTTTATAGTAACTGAAGAACAGATAGAGTTTGAGAGCTGCAGTTTTTTTTTTCATTCGACAGATAGATACAAGGCTATCAAAGTTTATTTAAGAATAATTAGTCAGCAAATCAATAAACAGATGATTAGTATAGGGATCGATGTACTGAAGCTATATTTATCTCAATTTGAAAGTTAACTTCTCTGTTATACAAAGAGGCTGATAGTATAATTTTGGGCACAATCTGATAAAAATGTAGGATTATTTTAGACTTGAAAACAAAAAGTATCATCCAATTGGTTTAAGATGATTAATTAATCTAATCCTATGTAGCTACTTTTCTATTTGATCATAGGTCAATAGAATCAGGTAGGAATGTCTGTTTACTTCACATTTATATACAAGAGTCTTTCTGTCCAATAGACCTATTAAAATTGCATATGGAACTAAAAATAACTTTAGAATAACATTTACGACAAATTTCACGTAATTGATAAATTACTTATCGATTGGTTTTTATGATTGAATCTTGTCTTTTGAATGGCGAAACCCGTATATCGTTAACTGATTTTATTCTCAAATTATTTGAGAGAAAAGGCTACGGCGACTATAGTTCATCCAAGAAGCCGGCGCGTGTGGCCATTTTTCAAATAACTAAAGAACTCAAATAGGCAGAGATCTGCGGTTTTTACCAGTCGATGGAGGTGATATGGAGACATTTTTTTCTCCTGTATAGTTTAAGATAAATTCATTTTAAAATGTATCGTTTTTTTTTTGAAAACATCGAAAAAATATACAAAAATATTCTGTCGTTGAGATGAAATTGTGAGAAAACGAAAAAAAAAGTCAAGAGAAAGTCATGTTTTTCAAAAAAACAAATAGAGAATCACATTTGCTTAATATTAGAACGCGTAAAGACAATCATTTAAATGATATCTTAAACTACAGATCGAAATTTCTTCTATCTAAATGACATATCAAAAGCAAAATTTTATCAGCATGACAGATCATATTTTGCAGAAATTATTGATTTTAAAATGGTTTCATCTTGTACAATATTAGAGAAAAAGACGTCACAGTGTTCTCTCTTTCGACTGATGGAAATCGCAGCTTTTTACCCCTCTTTCTTTTAGAGCTATTTGAAAAATAATCACATTCACAGAAGTTTTAAATGGGCTAAAGTTTTTTAGATTGAACAGAGTTTTTATTCTATTTTTTTTTCTGTTTGGACGAAAAGATTATACGTATTATGGGAAGCCAGATGATCAAATATGTTCAAATATTCAAGAAAAAAATTTAAATTCAGTTAAACATCTTTATATTGCTAGTGAAGAAATCGGAGATGATTGTGTAAATTATTTTCCAAATGTTAATGAATTATCTATTGAAGAATCAGTTGATTTGATTAGTGCAACTCTTCATCGTATGATTCCTTTAAAGGCAACTGACGAAACTAGTTATTAATTCTTATGTTCGCCAAATGAAAGACATTATCAATTTATTACGTTTTACACCTAATGTACATACATTGAGCTTCAACTTATTATGTTTGTGTGATATTAATATCCATTTTAATAAACAAAATGAAAAATTTCAATATGTACTAAAGAAAAATAAAATACAAAATTTAATTCTTAGTGAAGAATGTTTATTCAGTGAAATTCAATTTATTGTTTATTTATTTCCAAGATTAGAATATCTCAAAGCTGAAATGAAAAAAAAAGAAATAGAACAAATAATTCGATTTTTATTATCGAAAACTCATAATAAAACACACAATTTATTCTATTTATGCATTTCAAAGGTATCAAAAGTACGTCTAAAAAAAACAAAGATGGTAATTAAATCAGAAAACTTACTCAATGATCATTCTATTAAGTATATTAATCGTGATTTACATTTATGGTGGTAAAAATTTCGTGACTTAGGATATCTTTTATTTATGTTATTGTTGTATATATTAGTTATTATTTTTAAATAAGAAACAATGAAAGATCGAAATTTCAATAAATGATATGATTTTATTCTAGGAAAAAATAAGGTTTCCTGAAGTTGAAATGCAAAGAAAGCATTTTTTGCCGATATGCTAACGTCATTGGATAGAACTCATGAGCATGCTTTTCAAACATTGAATTTTATCCATTAAGGCGAATTATAATGAAAAAAACTTAGAAAATACTATATTTCTGATTTTGATGTTAAAATGGTATCATTTTTTAGAATATTGTTGGTTTGTTGCTTTTTTCTTATATTCATGTTTGATTTTATCTTCTCGAAATATTCTATTGGAAATCTTCAAGCATTTTCGTTTTGGAAAAAGACAATCTATTTGAATTAACAGGCGAAAAGGTGTGGATGGGTGTGGATGAAGTAGTGAGTAAAGACAACACCCACACTCCCACACCTAATTTCATCCTCAAACATCAGATAAATTTTATTTTCAACATATGATTTTCTTAAAAGAAGAACAGTATATATTGAAGTACTGATTAGATCACATCTAATACAAATCTAGACAGATATTCTCTCTATACAATCTTTTTGTTAATAATTTTAACTGAGTTATAGAATACATTAATATACACAATAGTCAATTCATTATCTCTCTCATCGTCGATAAGTCGATCATATTCTAATTGAATAGATATAAAACATATTTGTGTACATCGATGTATGTTCAATGAAAAATTGGTTCTTGATGAAACAACTAAATAAAAAATAAATTTAGAATTATGTTTTTAATTTCTCTTGTGTACCATTCGATTTGATATTTATCATGTGTCAAAAAGAAAATCAAAAGGAATATCTCATGTACTCAATCATAAATTTGATGACAAGCTCGAAAGTGTGTCAAAGGTGAAAAAAATAATATGTAATGCAATTCTAATAAAATATATGTATGATTCTAGTAGGATTTTTTTTTCTTATTATGATAAATAAACCAATACTTTTTAATTCTAATCATTAATGAGCATCGATTACATGCTTGATTTATTTTAGAAGAAGATTAATTCATAGATGCTTTGCTTAAAAAAGTTTTACAAGTAACATTCATATAGAAAATTGATTTTTTTTAGTCTTCTAATTTTGACGTATCATCAAAGCAAAGATCACTTCGAAAATCTAATAATGGAGCAACAAGTGGTTGATCAAATGATATGACTGAGGGTACGTGGGTGTGTAAGTATGGGATTTTTACAGTTTTATCAACGCTCACGTCCACACTCTGCATGTTCAACGTCATGGAAACAGATAAATTTAGTAAATGGTAATGATTATTGTTTAGTATAATGAAACTGAATACAACAGAAATTGAACTAGATATTAAATTAATTGAACTGAGAAGTTGTGATGCATAGTATTAATAATAAATTCATTCATATTTCTTTCGATAATTAATGTGACGATTCGTGGTTATTTAATATTTAAGTTTCAAACAAAAACATAGTAGCTTGTTTCAGATGAATAGACCGAGATAATTTTTCAAACAATATTTAAAAAAATGGATGACGTTTGTGATTTGAAACATTTGCATGAGATGATTCTTTTTAGTTTAGTACACGAAAAGTGTGTGCGGAAGTTTTGAAAATATGATTATTTTGCATTGTTGTCACTATATTGATTCTTTTTGCTGCACTTTATCGTCAAGATATTGTAAAGTAATCATATATGAAAATAGGGAAAAGCTTGTTTAGTTAAATTTTATCATATTTCTGTCAGTACTCAAGACTTAACTCGTTGCTTAGTTCAGGTGTACAGAAAGAATTAATGACAATGATAAATGCATCTATGTATGCCTTTTACTCGTACTTTGGTACTGATCCATAATAATCTGTTCAATCTACAGAATTATGATGATGGTTACAAATGAAACCATGATTATTGCCGAATGTTTCACAAAAGAAAAATGGTTTTTAGGGAAAATTATGTAAATAACAGAAATCAGAAACCAAACAAAATGTTTTCATCCGAAATAAAATTATTCTGATTTGGTGTAAAATAAATAATTCATAACAGAGGCTTTGATTCTGTATATATTTGTTGTCGGGCAAGTGCGTAAAAAAAATTCACATTTTTCGCTTGTGGTAGAGAATTCAGTTTATTCAAGTATGAATCATTCATTACAAAAAGCAGAAATATTATCGATAGATATTAATGTTTTTATGATAGAGGAACAGAGAAAAATGAAAAGTATCGAATTGGAGTTATGCAATCGAAAATGAATATTCTTTAATAGNTGACTTATAAACATGAAATAAACAAGATGATTCATATGATTCGAAAGAGAGAAAAAAATTTTCTTTCAATAGCCTTTTATTGAAGAAAAGTAGAATACGACACTTCTCCTATTAATTTTTATTTTAATCATAAATTGTTTCTTATTTCATTTTATTTGTTCTCTTTTAGGAAAAAAATTGAGGATAGGACTGTAAAGTCAGTTAAACAGCTTTCTATTTCTAATAAAATAAAAAAACAAACATTTCTAAATTATTTTCTAAATGTTACTCAATTGAGTCTTAATTACGTTTTTTAAATTTCAGATGATTCTATTGCATAAAATCTTAATCGTATGATTTCTTTTGTTTGAACTTTGTCATTTTCCATGGAAATTTATACATATCAGACATGTGAAAAATATATTGAAAAGAATTTTATGCTTTAATTAAGTAAAAAGATTTACTCAATGATTATTCTATTTAATATTTTAATCCAGATGAAAATTTAGTTATTAAAGATATGTTTTTTTTTTAATATTTTTATTGTATATAATGATGATTATATTTTTTGAATAAATAAATGAAAGATCAAATCTAATTCAATTAAAAATCTGGTCAAGTAATAAAACACAAGGTGTTGATAAATTCTATAGTATTTTATTTTAACATCATTGAATAGATTTCATCAATATCTTTATATAATCTTTTGTTTGTTCTATTTTTGGATTGAGTTCAATGATGAAAATTTGAGAATACTATCAGGGATGTGGCCACCACGGGGTGCGCACCCCCCCACTTTTTGAAAATTTTCAATTTTTCGCAGCAAAAATCGTCAAATTTTTTTTCAAAAAAAGGTAATCAAATTCAAAAATATAGGTTTGCACCCCCCACTTTTGAAAAATCTATCCAGAAACCTTTGTCAGTTTCCAAAAATTTTCAATGCACCCCTCCCCCACTTTTTTTCTTCGCCACATCCCTGCTCATATGCAAGAAATTGAAATCTGACTTATATCTCATGAAGAATATTCCATGTTCTGAAATATATAAATAAGTTCTAATGGTTCTTCAACAATTATTTCTTGTTATATCACCAGAGTAAACTTATTCTATTTATCATAGAACCAGACGAATCGTTCATGTAATCCAAGAAAATAAAAGCAAAATCGGCGGTGACGCAGCTTGTCTGTTCAATATGCGTCGAAAAGAACAAGACTAGGCATGTTATTTTTTGTTGTATATGTATATTAATTCATGGTGAATCAAAAACACAACATTCTTGATCAATATCATCGTTTTTGTAGAATTATATTAAATATGAAACGAATGATACGTTAAAACAACAATCTAATTCAATTTTCAAATCGTAATAAAAGACGAAAATTAGAAAATCAAAATAATATTTCAAATAAATATATATTATATCTAATTTTGTGTTTTTGTAGTTTTTGTAACAAGATTCTATTCAAATAAGATATATAATGTTTGTTATAATATAAATAATAATTCTTTATGAAATATTTGAATATCTTGATATATATGATATTTACAAAGGATTTTACCATCTTAATAAAAGATTTTAAAATTTAGCTATTAAACTAAAATTAAAGTTTAAAGATTATTATTAGAATATTCTTATACCAAATCCTAATCAAATAAAAATCCTTCGTTTATCAAATCTATTTACTCCTAATATTTTACTTAATAGAGCTACCAAAATTGCAGTCATTAACTATATCTATTATTGGTTATAATCAAACATTAGATCTTCTTTTTTTTAAATATTTTTCATTTACCAAAATTAAAATATTGTAAAATTGAATATCAAAGATAATGATTATGAGCTATTTCAACATTATTTAACTGAATATTTAATAATAAATGGTCGATTTTCATTCATGGGATTTCATAATTTATTATTTTGTCTTCCTAAACTTCAACATTTATCAATAAAGTTTCTTGCTTTATATCTTCATTATGTCGAACAAAAAGAAAAAATCATCACATATTGAATTATAATATTTAAAACATATTTCGATTAAACTTGATTTAATTCTTTTTTTTTCAATTTGAAAAAATGATTAAAAAATTTTTTTTTTATCATGTTCAAATTCTTCTTCTTCTTAGAACACATTATTATGAGAACTATTTAAATTCTAAACGATGGTAATAATTAATAAAATTTTACATGATATATTTACATACATTTGATATAAATCATGCAGATTCTATAAAGAATAATAATGTAAC